AGCAGGAATATACACATCTGCAGAGTTCTTGGAGTTGTTAGGGTTAGTTAAATGCTTCATGTTTATCTTTATCTTTACCAAATCCGAACGATTTGGCGGCCACTGCAGCATGTGGGTGCACTTGAGCCTTTTATTATTACAGCAGATTGGCCTCATTTAGCAGAAAGTAATAAAGTTCTGGACTATGCTTTAAGCAGTACTTAAAAAAAATCAGCAATAAAAAGTGTTTCTGATTGCTACTGTTCATAAGTGATATGAATTTCCACATTTAGTTTAGTTCTGTTCTACTATAGATTAGTTTGATTTTTAGCATCCAGAGTAGTGTTTCTAAACCTGGACAAGCTGCATTAGGATTCCCTCAGTCTCTTATCTCCTTTGGCCTAGCCCTCTCTGCTGCTTTTACTGTCACAGTACCGCTAACTAGCCAAGGTGGCTGGTTAAAGATGCCAGGACTGCTGCCTCTTGAGCAAGGAGGGTTAATGTACTATCATGGAATACTGACCACCAGATTTGATTGGGACTAAATAGTTTACTTGTTTCCTCTGCTAAATTCTAAACTGACCTGTCACACAGAGAACTTTGAAGATTTTAAAAAGCAAATTTCAGGTAAAAATACTGTTTTTACAAAGCAAAACTTTTATTGGAAATTGTTATTCTTACACACAACTTTTTTTTTTTTTTTTCACCATGAAGTATGTATAATTGATATCTGTTAAAGGTATCTTCACAAAACTTTCAGGGTGTGTTATGGACTGATGAAATAGAAATTCACCTATATTTCTAGTATCATTATGGTTGAATTGAACTTGCCAATATTTAATCAAAAATGAAGATCACCTCTCTGTGAAAGGAATGTCTTCTCTAGTTCTTTTAGGTCAGGTTGCCAAGTTTGAATCCTCCCTGGCTCTTCAGAATCCTAATTCAGCCTTTTAGGGGAAATTTCACAGATTTGGTAAACAGGCAAAGTTTGAGAGAAATTGCCAAGTTTTGCTAAGCATCAGTAGAGAAGCCAGATTAGAACTGACTGTAAACTGATGCAGTCATGCAAAACTACCCCTGAGAAACAGCCTTGGTGTGAAGACTTTTTGCAAGACTTGCTGAACAGAGCCAGATTTTATAGTATCCTAGGATCCTTTTGCTTACATTTTCAGGAAAGATGCTTTATGACCTTACCTAAAATATAAATTGAAACTCAGAATATTGATGCCAACTTTATCTACCTTTTATTTCTGACAGGATTCTTTCTGACAGGAGTAAGTGTACATGATCATGTCCCTTAATGCACTCTATGATGGATGTTCAATATTTCAGGCAAAATGTTTAGCTCTGATGTGTGGTAGCTTTGATTTTTATGCACTGGAGACCACAGATAATGAAGCGATTCATTTAAATAAGATGTTATGTGAACACTGTAACTTTTGAAGTGCTATTACATGCAGATTTGTGCTCTGCATCCTGCCAGCACCTTCCCGCAGAACATCATTTCCCTGCCTACACAACAACAGCCGCTTCCTTCCGTGCTTCCCGGCCACCCCTGCGTTGTGGCTGCCTCCCCGTGAAGGCCTTGGGGGGGGTCCCGCTGTGGCCGAGCTGCGGCCTCCCCCTCGGCAGCAGCCCCAACGTGGGGCTCTCCGCTTGCCAGGCGCTCATTTGCAGACAGGGACATCTGCTCTGCAGGTGGGCTTGTGATGAGCCAAAAGCTACTGTAGGAAGATGATAGGTATTCACCCCAGCCAAATAAGCCTTATTTTGTGAAGAAACCAGTCTAAAATGTCAGAAGTAGCATAAAATTAATGTCAAAATCTACATTAGATTTGTTTACTTGCACCAAGTCCTTGTGTGAAACTGACTTTGCTGTATCTAATTATAACTAATTTTCCATAACAGGCCCCTTTGGCTCAACCAGAATCCCCTACAGCTTCAACAGGGGAAGATGTTCAGTCTCTGGCTGACTCAATGGACTCGGACCGAGAATCCATCTGTAGTAATTCCAATGGCAATAATGGCAAAAACAGTAAAGAAAAAGAAAAGGACAAACAGAGGAAAGATAAAGACAAAAACAGGACGGATTCAGTTGCCAATAAGATTGGAAGTCTCAGTAAAACCCTGGGAATCAAGTTGAAAAAGAATATGGGTGGTCTTGGAGGCCTGGTGCATGGCAAAATGAGCAGAGCCAATTCAGGGAATGGGAAAAATGGTGATGCTGTAGAGAAGGTCAAAGAGAAGAAGTCTAAGTCTCGAAAAGGGAGCAAAGAGGAGACTGGGCAGTCTGCAAGCAGCCCTCCCTCTGAAAAGACCACCCCGTCTCCCACTGACAAGGCTGGCAACTCGCCCATTGAAAAGGTGAACACGAAATGCTTCTCTGACAAGCAGCCTGACCCGTGGAAATACAGCACGGATGTGAAGCTCAGCCTCAATATTCTGCGAGCTGCCATGCAAGGCGAACGCAAGTTTATTTTTGCTGGCCTCCTTTTGACTAGCCATAGGCATCAGTTCCACGAGGAGATGATTGGCTATTACCTGACCA